CGCCGCCATCTAGCGGAAACATCTTGAACTTGAATAACTTAAAACTAATTGAAGGACCCTCAGATCTCGATCGCCGGATAAGAATGAAGTCGTAACAAGTGAGTGAGAGCAGACGTTTCCAATTATCGTTTGTAGATGGCGCCGTGTAGTGTAACTGAGAAATTCTGCACCATCACGAATTTCGTTAACGTTAACGTGTTAAACATTGAAATGTAACATTAGTATGTTATATTTACTTCTATGTTATTTAAACTGTCTTTTTTATTAAACTTAACTATTAGTACTTTAACTAGTTTTAAAAGACGTAAATTTATAGTGTTTTATGCAATCATTGCATTATGAGGGTTATTAAAGTCGAGAACCAGTATAAGGTAGACATATATATAGACAACAAGTTTATTCAGCACAAATACAATTACAAACAAAACATTTATAATCACTTCACAGAGTATAAAGGTTGCAAGAGCAAGATTGAACGTGGTGACCGTCTTTCATGTATTAACTGCAAGGATCTCTACCACTACCAATGCTTAAACATAAAGTCAGCTGATTTCCGTGAGAACGGAAATCACCTAAAACTTACATGACGATGACTTTAGCAAATTGTTGGATTCGAAAGTTGGCAAAATTGAAGAATCGTTGACCCGAAATATAAGAAGTTTTATTAAAGAGGAATTCAACTGCGCTATAGAAAAACTAAAACAGGAATTCACACAAACGACTGACTTCCTAGCTGCGGAGCAGGTGGATCTAAAAAAGGATATAAAGGTAGCAAATGATAAAATCAAATTTTTAGAAACTAACAATTCTAAAATTTCAAAAGAGTTGTTGTCGTTTAAAATTGAATTGTCTGATATTTAACCCGAGATATTACGGTGTACCTCGACATTTGGCGAATAAATTGTGCTGGAATGACAGAGAGAAGGATCAGACTCGGTCAACGCGATACCCAGTGTTACAATTTCGCTCGTTTCCTCGGATACACTCCCTCAGGGGAAGCTTTCGGTTTGCTTCGTCTAAATGTTGGAATGACATTCCACCCCCGACTTAGTCAGTCATTGCACACTTTCAAAAGAAAGTGTAAGCAATGGCTACTTAACATACAAAAAATCACAATATTGCTGGACTAAATTGTTATCGTGATTGCACTATAACGTAGCAAATCGTTTCTTTGTTTTAAGTTTCTTTTAAATTTCTTTATTTTAATTTTGTATCCGGTATTTAATGTTCTTTTACATATAATATACCTATATATATATTCGTATGCTCATATAAATCACAAATTCATTCTAAGCATGTCTTATAAATTTCAAATGTAATTCCTGTTATGATTGTCAATAGTCAGTGGCGGATGTCCATGTATGAAACCCGAACATGGTGGAACCCGAAAAGCAGAAGTAGTGCTGAGGTTCCATCCTTTTCATTGGCACTAGAGTCCACATTTCCGAAACTCTTTATTGTCAACCATTTTATTGTAAATGTGCTTATGAATAAATGTCTTATTATTATTATTATTATAACAAAAAAGCACATAGAACATTCATTATATCATCATATCATTTATATAAAACACATACTGCGAGAAAAACAAATACTGTGAGAAAAACAAACAAATACTATAAGAACTAATCAAATTTTAATATACCTGTGTCTACAATTATGCTGAAATGGCCCCATCGAGCATGTAACCAGAAATAGAGACGAAGTGTCACTTAATTTGTTTGAAAACTATTCTGCCATATCATTACTGTGACAACTGCGCTCCGATTGGCTAGCCCGAGTACGAAACAATTGACGGGTTTAAGTAATAACGGGTATAACTATAAATAAAGGGTAAATAAAGTATATTATAGGGTATGAGTAATAGGCTCGAGACTTTTTTTTATGATACGAAGTGATAGGACGAACAAGTCGCGGGCGCTCGGAGTTTTCAGTCGCAAAGATCTGACGGGCACTGCCACTTCGCCCGTCTGCCTGAGAAATAAGTTGACAAGTCCCATGTGCCTGTAATTTCATCAGCACCCTTTTCCTTCAAAACCGAAACGCAGTAATGCTCACATTACGGCTTGGCGGCAGAAATAGGTCAGGTGGTAATACTTCCCTGGACGAACTCTTTCGCAAGGAGCTGTACTACCACTAACCTGTGTATTTAAGTTAAGTTGAGAAAATAAACGATGGCTCAACGGTTTGCACTGTGGACGCTGGACGAGAAAGTCCTGGATTCAATTCCCGGTACGACTAATTTGGGAAATGATCTAGAAGAGCCACTACCAAGGATTTTTATTAAGCACGCAGAAGCTAAGCTATTAATAAAGTTTTTGTTTCACTATAGTTTTATACTACGTAAACGGCAGATTTCGAATATCAACCGGTATCTTATTATATTGTCCCTTACATGAGTTTGTGACTTTGTGAAGACGATTGTTACGAACAGTCAGTTATTTTTTATTCCTTATATGAATGTTATGTCTATTGCTTATAATTATAACTTTTTTTATTAAAATAAGCCGACTTCTTCAAAAACGGTGATAAAACACTCTTGAAGAACTATCGGCCAATTTCGCTTCTGAGCCATATCTGTAATTTGTTCTCGCGAGTTATCACGAATCGTCTCGCTTGCAGGCTTGACGACTTCCAACCTCTCGAACAAGCCGGTTTCCTAAAGGGATTTAGTACCATAGACCACATCCTTAGCGTTTGTGGACTATGAGAAGGCCTTTGATTCGATCGAGACCTGGGCGGTGCTGCAGTCCCTCCAAAGGTGTCAAGTAGACTATAGGTACATCGAGGTGTTAAGGTACTTATACAAAAACGCCACTATGTCAGTCCGATTACAGGATCAGACCTCTAATCCTATCCAACTGCAACGAGGCGTGTGACAGGGAGATGTGATATCTCCGAAATTGTTTGCTTATCGACTTTTTTATTGGAATTACCTTTTGGAATTACCTTTGCCAAGTTTTATTAAAATCGATTAACGGAAAGTGCGCGAAACTGGATTCATCCCCTAGTTTGCCTCTTTTCGAGGTGGAATATTAAGGTACCCCGTTCCAAGAAAAAATCCTCTTATGAAATCGGTTAAAAATACTGTTTTTCTTAAAATTTTCATAAATAAACTGTGACGTTTGTGTAACAATGTGAACTTCTTTAAACTCTCTTTCAAGTTCCAAGTGTCAAGTTGCCGAACTTGACACTTGGCTGTTTTAATAGCAATGGAATGTAAATGTTTGGATGGAAGTGTGAAATTTGATGATATGCACATAGTCCGTTATTGTAAATTTTACACAAGTAATTGTAGGTTTCGATTGATGCCAACGCAAACAATTTAAATAGCTTTAGTTTAATTTAAAGTGTGCATCATTCACTATCAATAAGAAAGAGACAGAAGATTTTATTTTAGTACAGAGTTGACGAAAGTTACATTTGCGCGAATCGACATTTTTTTTTTCTATCTAACATCGTTTAGCTAACAACCCCGCATTGTACATACAATTTTTTTTAAGCTATAGTTGGTATATATAGACGCTCTGATTATACTTTTAAATTATGTATATGTGTTGGTTATATATACAAGACCCAATTTCTTATACGGATGATTTCATTGTAAAGGAAGAAAAATTAGAACAGCAGAAGTTGGTATAATAAAAAAAATTCATGAATAATGAATAATAACAATAAATGACAATTATTAAACTTTTTTAAACTTCAAATGAAATATCAACCATACTGTTAAGTGTAATAGCATCTAGTAATTATATTTTTTATAAGTAGTTCATACACAGACCACATAAAAGTGAGTCCATACTTCTACGTTCAACAAAATTTTTTATGTTCCTCCATCCTAATACATGAGACATAACGTGACAAGTCTCATGTGCCTGTAATTTCACCAGCACCCTTACCCTTCGAAACCGGAACAGAGTAATGCTAACATTACTGCTTGGCGGCAGAAATAAGTAAGGTGGCAGTACTTCCCTGGACGAACTCTGTCACCAGAAGCTCCACTGCTTACAAAACATCCCAGACATGTCGAAACGCTACCGCAACAGAGCAATCTTCCTTATTTTTTTTTATTATTTGTCTTTTTCCTCTGCATATTTGTGTGAGAAAATGTTTTTATTTTTTCTCTTTTGCAGTTCCATACATTTGCGTTTCACCCTTGACAGGCCCCTTAGACGCTTATAGTACAGGTCTAATGTAGTTTGGGTACCAGTCTTCCACCTCACAATTTGACTGTACGATGTAACTTTGTATAATGTACTGGTAAGGTGGAAAAGAAGAATAAATTATTTGTATTGTATAGTCGCGATTGATTGTAAATCGGGGCTGAAAAGGATCCAAAACGTTGGTTAGTTTAAAAAAATAAATATATCCGATCCTAACTAAGGTAAACGATTCTTTTATGGGGAGCTGTATACGTTTTTACAATAAGATTCCGGATAATATATGAAGATTTCAATTCCTAAGTTTAAAAGTTACATTAAAAGTATTTTAATTGAAAAGTAATATTACAAAATTGAAGAGTGTGTTTTAGATAAAGAAGTATAGAAACACAACAATAGTCTAGATTCCACACAATTATGATTCAAAGTGTATTCCATAGCATTTAAGTTTATTTGAAAAGAGCAATCCCTAGAGTTTCTTGCTCGTTCTTATCAGGGAGGTCAGCGTAGTGAACGAGCAGTAGCTTAAAAAGTTACGTTTTGAAGGGTAAAAATTTTACTTTGACAAAACAGTTTCATTTATTTACTCGATTGCTTCATATTTCGAATGCATAGCAATCGCGACAGCTCAAGAACTCAATAGATAAAAAATACACTACACAGCAAAATCATCAACACAAACAACAACCACAACAACAACAGAAAAAGCAACAACAACATAACAAAATAACTGGTTACACTTTTCTAAATTAAAAACATAAATTTTTTCAGTGATATTTTCAAATTCACAAAAATAAATGTAGTCTATATTACTAACCTCATTTTTTTTGTTGCCAGGTCCAGTTCCCCTAGCAAGAAATATAAGGCATCTACCCTGCATATCCAGAAGAACAGGTCAAGAAGGCCTCTGTATGTTCGCAATAGACTGCTTAAAAGCCAATGGATCTCATCTCGGCACCTGCATAGACAGATTCTACTTTGGATCCTGCTGTCAAATTCCCGACAAAACCATATTACCGCAGATAATTAATAATATAGACGATAACACGATAGATGGTGCCAGTTTTGTTCATCCACAAACTGAAAATAAAGTGACAGTCACTAAGATTCCTGAAATATTAAACACCAAGAGGCCTTTCAGTGACGCAACTACGGTTAAAACTACAGTATTTCAGGATAAAACTGAGGGCATATATGCGGAAACTAAGTCAGATGATCTAACTACTATAGATAATAAAATACCTAACGACGATAAATTGACTACTGCTGTTGTAGTCGAAACTACGACAAAAAAAGAAGTGACGACTACTAAGACTCCGGAAATAACTACGGAAGTTCCTATTAAAATATCAACATTCCAAACTGTATCTGGAGACAGTAATAATTTAGCGACAGAAAAACCAATTAAAAGTGATGATAAAAAGCCATCATCAACCACAACACAACAAACAACTGTAACGACTACTATTAAGCCTAAACCACAATATAAACCTACTTACAAACCTAGACCTACATTTAGGCCAACAAATTTTACGAAGCCTGCGTATATTTCTACAACTCAAAAACCAAAACCTACAAAACCTGTAGCTCTCTATAATACAACTAGGAAACCTCCATATAGACTACCACCAAAACGACCATCAACCAAAAAACCTCTACCATCACCTCCTAGACTGAATATCACAATTCTACCTCAATCGACTAGCTCCCGGCCTATTTTCACTAGGCCTTTGACTCCTACAATAACATACATAAATACTACAGTAGCTACTGTTGAAGATAAGCTTACTTCAATAACTACTACCACCACAACAGCAAAATCATCAACACAAACAACAACTACAACAACAACAACAACAGAAAAAGTAACAACAACCGAAAAAGCTTTAGAAACAGTACCTACAACGCAAGCTAGTACTGAAGTTGCTACGGAAAGAAATGAGAAACCTACAATTAACACAGAAAAAACTGAAACGACTCTCATTTCAGATACCACAGTAACGGAAAATATAAAAGATAGTACTTTCTTAGACGAAATTGTAACAGAAAAGAATGAAAAAGTTACTGAGAATGTTGGTGACTTACAAACAACTACATCATCCAGCACAACATCGACAACAACAACCACAACAATACCTCCAACGACTTCTACAACAGTATCACCAAATTTAGCGTCAACGTCAACGGAATTCCCGCCTCTAGTTACATGGTCTAACACTGTGGATTCTGCTACTAAGGCTCCTGAAAAAATCACCACAACTGCCGAAGGTGAGTGTTTTGATTGAATGGTTCTAATACGTATTTTGATTTTATGCATGTTATAGGTTTTAAGAGTATAAATTCATCTTCGACGAATTAAAATCCAAAAGATAATAGCTATTTAGACGAAACGTAACGACTAATGAACGACATCTTGAATTGTGAAATTTGACACGGTTGACTGAGGTGGTAAAGTCATCAACCTGAACAATATTACAACAAAATTTTTTCACTATAGTCACAAAAGTTATTAATTAATTAAATATAAATAAAAATACCTTAATTAAATGTTTATTGAATTGACATTCAATTTTTTTTTTGTGAAATTACTCCACTAGCTTGTTATAATTATTAATATAAAGATCCGACCGGATCGAAGGAATTTTTTCTGAGTGTTTTTTCTGAGTGTTCGATCTTTGTATTAATAATTATAATTAAATACCTTATTTTTAATTTTACCATGAACATTCCAATTTACGCTACGTACGTTTTACAAATTATTTTATTTGAACAATATGAATTTTTATTAAATCAAATTTATTATTCATTAATAATGGAAATTATAATAAACAGCTATGTTCTTTGATGCGGTCAAAGAACATATAGCTGATGTCAAACATAGTCACGTAAACGAGTCTGTAGTCTGTGAGCATGTCATGGATAAACCTACACATTCAATCAATTTGACAAACCCCATAGCCTTGCAAAAGAAGTCTGTTATTTACCCAGGATGCTGCGAGAAGCCATTAAAATTAAAAAAACAAGCAATTTCAACAGGGAAGATGGTTTCTTCGTACCCACCAGTTTGGGATGCAGTATTTATTTATCCCACACCATCAAAAGGAACAACCCCCCTTGGTTAGAGATATTATCTTTATTACAATAAATACATCATATTTTTGGAATATACGGAGTCGTACGCATAGGCCACTTGTCGGCGCTGCACTATTTCAGCTTTAAAATTTGTTCAGCGCAAAAAGCAATTTCAGCGTAAAAGTGATATAAGAGGCCCATTTGCCTGATGAGTCGCCAGGGTTGGATGGCCCTTGTTTCGTCTCTATTTCTGGTTATATACTCGATGCCCGAGCATGACCGTAAATCGAGTTACGAAGGAATTTTAATAGATTTTATGACTGGATGCTTTTCTTTCCATAATGGAAAATGACACGTTTAGTGTTTATTAAAAACGGCATCTGTCATAAAAGATAAGTTGCAAAAGATATATAATATCGTGATGCAGGTATTAACGCCTACGCTAGATTTCGGTGAACGCGAGATCAATGACTGGACTTTTGATGTCATGCGCCGGTCATTTGTTTTTTTTTTATTTATGAGAAGCAAAAGTATGAATTATAATAATGAATACTTACCAAAATCAAATGTTATAGCTACGGGTAACAACGGTAAATGCTAATCGATTTTTTTATGATACCGAGTGACGGGATCAATAAGTCATGCGCCTGGTGGTAAGCGACACGCCTGTCCATTGCTTTAAATGGCAATGATCTGAGGGGCACTGCTCTGCCGTGTCATACCAGTACACAGTAAAGTCACTTACTGTGTTTGGATTTAACAATGCTCATATGATTTCTCTGGGCCTAATATATACCATGACATTTCAACTTTTTAGTGTATTATAGTGTAGTGGTAATAGTGTTTTTGAATGAGGTATTAAATACTAAAATACACTGTAAGTTTTAAAATAAAGAAATTATTTTGCCATGACACGGTACGCAGCAATACATCTTTTGGTTTGACAATTACGCGCGCGAAATGCAGTATAGTGTTGCGGGGTGCCTGCCCGAGTTAGCGAAAACTCTCAGATCGCGCAAATGACTCAGGAGGGGGTTCTACTAACATTTGTCGCGACTCTAATTTTAACAATGAAAAAACGACATTCTGTCGTGTCAAACCAAAACACTCCACGGTTCAGTACAGTGTTTTGTAATTTCATAACGACAAGAATATTTCGACTGTTAACGAGGGAAAACAAATTTATTCGTTTTTCAATAGAAATAACTTACTTTCCAAAATAAAATTAGATAATAAATTAAATTAATAGAATGAGATTTCTTTAATATCTAATGTACAACGTAAGTTAAATGTATCTTTTTATGTTATTAACCTCAAAACTTATAAAAATCTACTTTTTCTCAAGATGCTGTTTTTGATATTACAGTGTCTTGGTTTGACACGGTAATGTTACTGCGCCCATAACCCAGAGATTGTAAGTTGACAAGTCCCATGTGCCTGTAATTTCACCAGCACCATTACCCTTCAAAACCGGAACGTAGTAATGCTCACGTTACTGCTTGACAGTAGAAATAGTTAAGGTTGCAATACTTCCTTGGGTGAACTCTCGTATGTACAGCAATCACCACAATTCTCATAAAATAACTGTCAATGAATTTAGTTCGTAGAACCTGCAAACATATTCTACACAAATATAGCTTTTTTTCTGATATTAAGTGACAGGAAGATCAAGTCGTGCAAATGGTATTAAAATGTCCATAGCAGTTGCATCGCCAGCCAGAGCGCAAAAATCTGAGGGAAATTGGCACTGCCTAGCTCTTAAATAAGAATATGAAATAATATGAAGAACAAAAAGTTTATTTGCAAAGATATACAATTTTAGTGCTATGAGAGTCGTACTCCAGAACTTTACTCAATGCTCAAGTCAGGTCTTGAGCAGACTTCAATATGATTTCAAGCACTGGAAATACGACCCTAATGGCAAGGGCTTGAGTATGATTTTCAGTGTTCACTGCAATACTCAAGTCCTGACTTGAGTATTGAGTACAGTTCTAGAATACGACCCTAAAAGACTTATTAAACTAAGGGTCGTATTCCAAAACTCTACTCAATGCTCAAGTCAGGATTTGAGCAGACTTGAGTATGATTTTCAGTGCTCACTGCAATACTCAAGTCCGGACTTGAGCATTGAGTACAGTTCTGGAATACGACCCTAAGTAACATTATAATGGGCTGTATGTTGGGTTGTAAAGCAGAAAAATAAACAATAATTTTGTTCCGTACTATTACATTATGAATTATAGTATTATTATTACATTATAGTCGCAGTAGAGCTCCTTGTGAAAGAGTTCGTCCAGGGCAGTACTTGCCACCTTACCTATTTCTACCGCCAAGCAGTAATGTGAACATTACTGCGTTCCGGCTTCGAAGGGTAAGGGTGCTGGTGAAATTACAGACACACGACTTATTCGTGCCGTCACTTAGTATAATACAAAAAAAAGTTTTAGAAATATACCGATATCGCACCCTATGTGCAATAAAGGCACGTTTAAAGATTCTACGAACGAAATTAGTCATACACTTTTGGCATAATTAAGCCACAATTGATACGTCAAAAGTGCTTCTGTCATGAAAGTCACAAAAATAATACGAACTATATGAAACTTTTTTATACTGAAACGGGAGTGTCATAAAATTTCACATACACATTATGTTTCATATAATCAACTATATGAAAAATAATGTGTATGTAAGTATATGCATATCACATTAGAAATTTAAGATGGAACATTAATAGGTGGTATACACGTGACGCCCTGCAAGGGCACAGCAACACCTAAGGGCTAAATTCATAAATCACACTATTTCATTATATTAAATGATTACATTAAAATATAATATCATAATGTTAAATTATTATATCACATTATTACGTTGCATTATTCGTAATTAGTAATGGTAAACATACTGTATACAATACATTAATTTTAAATAATTATTTATGAGAGATGTCGAAGTATTTTTATTTGTTGTATGTTGTGCTGTTATTGTTATTTGTCATCCTATATATCGTCAAAAAAGTCATCTAGGTCATAATAACATTTATTAATAAGAAATGCTTTTAGGGTCTTTCCAGGTTTTTAATATAATTAGGCATGTGGTTATAAATTCTAATTAACATGGTGTGCGGGCCAGACGTAATTTTATTTTGGACTTTTGGACTTTCATGATAAAAGCACCTTTGACCTATCACGTGTGGCCTAATTATGCCGAAGGTACAAATTGTGAAGTAAATTTTATTTTACTGGATTATTAGAACTTCTTTCTCAAGTCTTCTCTCCAAATATCCATAATTCCGTAGCAAGCGATGAAAGCAATAGTTTCACTATGAAACAATCGTCGTGGATGACCCCGATACGTGATTTCACTGTTAAAATCGACGGCTCTTCACTGGAAACGATCTTGATATTGTTGAACATTGTGTAGGTTCATGTCTTTAAGGTGCTGGTAATTCTGTGTGACGTCGTTAGAAAAAAAAATAGATTGGAATTTGTTTCTAAACTATAAAGCACGTCGAATCACAAAGGCAGTAAGTAATCAATCGTGAACAGCGGGACGTATTCGAAACTTCTTTTCCATCACACTTGCACGTAAATACTATGATTGCAAGCAGGCTAACTTGACTAAGTCAACCCTCGGCATTTATTCTTCTGAGTACACGACCATGACTGTAAAGAAAAGAAAAAGGTCCATGGGTTTTATTTGGGCCATTACAGTCAAGTTAGCCTGCATGCAATCGTACTATTTACTCGTAAATGTGATGAAAAGCGCTGTATGTTTCACGGGTGGTCCGGGAATTACCAACCTCGACTCCGAAAGCCTTCAGTCTTCGACTTCGGGCTTTTAATAGAACCTCGTTGGTAATTACTTATTTACCGCCTTTAATAAGCAATGTAGTATGTATCAGTATATTACCTACTGTGAAAACAATGTTGTAAATATGAAATTACTATCGAGAATCATTAGACTTTAATGACATGACGAGGTATGTAATTTTTTACCGCCCGTGCTACGTACATTGTTCTTCATCACATTTGCGAGGAAATAAATACAATGTTATGGTAGGAAATGCTTCACAACACAAGAATTACGGGTTTAGCAAATGGCGAGTTTTTTTTATAGGCCAGTGGTCAGCTATTCTTCCATAGATAATAAAACTCGAACTAAAACGTTGTAAAAGACAAATTTATGCAATT